AACGAGTTGTCTCTTCCGTTCTTTTTATTTATTACCTGTATGACATACTGCATTCTGTTGTCAAAAGAGCGCGGAAAATACAGAATCCTGCTTCTTTGTTCCAGTTTTAACTATAAAATTATAATTTTTCTTCAATACCAATGTAATATTCGAAACCCGTGTCAAAAACTGAGTCGGCTGGTATATGTTTCGAAGTTAGTTTTTCAAGAACTTGTATTTTTCGATTAAAATCTTAATTTTTTTACTCGAAAAAGTTCGAAGCTTTTGGCGAGAGTTGAATGCCACTTCGGTTGACTGAATTTTTGACGCAGATTTTGAATACATTGGTATTGAAGAGAAACTACAATTTGATAATTAAAAGTGGAAAAAAGAAGCAGAATTTGTATTTTCTGCACTCTTCTGAGAAAAAAATTATTTTCTTCGCCACGACAGCAAATAAAAGACAATGATGGCATCACAGCATGGAGGTTTTTTGAACAAACATTCACTTCTTCGAGAAGACAGATCCGAGAGTCCTGGAGCCTATAGAGATTTGTGCAAAAAGCATGAGGTCATAAGCAAGGAAGCACCTCTGGAGGTTCGCTAGCAGATTTGGGGATTTTATGTCATTCGATTTGCTTTTGAAGATTTTTTGTGATTTTACTTACACTTGTGCGACTAACGAAATCAAGATAAATGACATTGCCGTTGATAGAAACCAATTCCTACTGTCGAACCAAGTTGAGTATGCTGGTATTTGGAAGTTACATGATGATTGTCGGTGGGATTGGCTTCGGTTTTTTTCCGCATTTCACGTTGTCCCTCATGGGCTTGAAAGCTGACGATAACACTTTCATTCGACTGTTCGGCTTACTTGCTGCTATTTTGGGTGTTAATTATTTCGTTATGGTTCAACAAACGGCCGTCGTTTTCTTCAAACTCTCCGTTGCCATGCGATATCTAGCCGGTTTGTTTATACTGCGTTTGGTGGCCAATGGTACGTCACATCGCAATTTGCTGCTGATGGCACTTGTGGACGTGTCAGCAGCCACCTGGACACTCATTGCACTTCGAAATGACTGTCGTCGAATTGGAGGTGAACACGAACAGTTGAACAAAAAGAATTAAAAGCATTTTTATTTGTGCAGGCGACGTTGTTCTTCTTATTTTGATTTCTTCAATTTATCTATTTAACATTTGAATCATGTCGAATAAACCTCCGTCCACATTAGAAGCCCAGTGGGCTTCTATTATGTCCCGCGAGAAAGGCAAAATTTCCTCAAAAAGTACCCTATGGGGGCAGCGGCAATTTTCAAAAAATTTCTTGCCAGACTGGACTTCTAATACGGGCGGGCTTCTATTATGGGTGGGCTTCTAATGTGAGGGGGGGGTTTAGATTACACATAAGCAAAAAAAGTTAAAATTTCAAATTTCAAAGTTTCAGTTTTGGGTCAGAGACTTGAATTTTTTTAAATGTTTGCCTTTCAACGCTGATTACGAATATCACATTCAAAATGTTATGTTGTCGCTCAGCTTTTTTCAAACTCATTCATGTCCCTGAAGCTCAACAACCACGGTTTTCTGAAAATCGTACTTCCGAGTATTTTCCCGCTAGACAAAAGAAAGAACAGGGTTTGAAACCTCTAAGTGCCGAGTTTCATAACAATCGAACGACGAGTAACATAGTTAAACTATACCAACGTTCTCATGTTACACGCCTATTAGTTCGGTCTTTACTGTTGTTGAACTTTGTCGTAAGTTTGGTGGCTTCTCATGAGCAATTTATACGCATTTCCTAATTGAATTTCGGTACTTCTCAAACCGATCAACAATCATCCCTAGTTGTTAGTACAGTTGGTGATGACTTACGAGAGAAAGTGTTCCCTCGCTTTTGAGCTGAGATTCAGTTGACCGAGGGTAATCGAGCATGCTGATTCCGAATTTCATAATGGTTTGGGCTAATTTTGACTTTAAAGCCCTGATTTTCAAAGATCTTGGTTTTCAAGCCTCATTGGTTTCATCTCTCATCAAACCTTGAAAAGTGGTTTTCTGTAGATTTCGCGATGTACTCTATCAATTGGACAGATCAAAAAAAGTTTTTAGTGCAAATGGCTTTTTGGCTCGAAAACCAAGATCTTCAAAAATCAGGGCTTTAAAGTCAAAATTAGCCCAAAGCATTATGAAATTCGGAATCAGCATGCTCGATTACCCTCGGTCAACTGAATCTCAACTCAGAAGCGAGGGAACACTTGGTGGCCTTCCCTCGTCAGATGCCCCATTCGATGTACATCGAAATTAAATATATGTATTCCATTTGTCGTCTTTCATTCATTTAAAACTCCTCTGTATGTTGCAATATATTGGAGTAATAATGCAGATTAACGCTCTCCATTTTCTTTTAAGATGTTTTCCGGGGGAAGGAGGAGGACAAATGATCCAGCATTTATTTCGGATTTTACTTATAAACTACACGCCACCTTCCTTCGAATCGGTTGGATGTCACATTCGAATCTTGTGACTTTGACATTATCAGAAAAAGATATCATCACGATGAGTTTCATGATGAAGGCCATCCACCTGTATTTTTTGAATAACTCCTGTACTGAAAGTTTTCGTGACGAATAAACAGGAAAAGATTCATTCATTTAGAACTATGCTCATGTATTAAACGTACTGAACTCATGTTTCAGATTTTGCAGCAGAACTTTTCCTCTCTTGAATACTTGCTCTGATCGACTTTTTTTCAGAGTCTGACGAATTTAACGTTAGTCCTTGCCATCGTCTACTATCCATTTCAAAATGTAGGGCACTAGGATATTTTTTTAATAACGCTAGAGAGGAATGTGCTAGAGACTTGCGGTTTTCAGTTTTGGAAACTAAACAGAGAGAGACATCGATCTATGTATAAATGAATCTCAGACACCGTGGTATACCTTGCAAGACAACAAGCTGAGCTTGCCATTCTAAAGAATATACATAGTGAGGTACTCTTTAAAGCCATCTCGCAGCCATCTATAAATGGATTGATCTATCAGTGAGTACTGATGAAAACTGTTTGCATTTTTGCAATCATAAGTTATTAAAGAGTTTCAGATAAGCATCTACATTTCATGTTTTTTATGCTGCTGTTAACCGTTCTTTAAACCGAGTTATAATAGACCTTCAGCATTTATCGCATTTCTAATGTTACATACAAAATTCTGCATGCGAGATACATCTTCGTATGCGATATCCCAAGCAAACATCACCTATTGAAAAAATCTAGATACTATAACAGTAGTCGAAATCGAGTAAAAATCTAGTAATCTAGATGAATCGGGCGCTATTAGATTTTTCTTTGACGCTTGGAATGATCCTTCGTTTATCTCCGAACTAAACTTTTTGGACAAAAATTTACTTTCTAGAGGTAGAAGGAGCCGCCTTAAATGGTTTCTTTTTTAATCCTATTGTTGGTAGCCCATAAGCCGAGCTTCATTGAGCGCATAAATGTGCCTATATTCGATATTGTTTTCCCTGTTTAATACACCTACAGACTCAACCTGACCTGAAGCTGCTACCTAGACATGTTAACTGTATCTGACTCGATCCAAAGTTGTAGTGATATATGTTGACTGCAGATATACTGACTCGACTTAACCCGACGCAGATGCAGAATTGATGACCACTAGTGACAGCTACATAATGACTCCACCTAATCCGCTATATAGGACTACGATGTATCAGGGATTGAGATGCGCCTTGCTGTTTTCAAAGTCTTTGAGAGGTTACTATTTGTCTTCTTATGAGTTTCGAAAACTGAAAACCGCAGGTCTCTATCTCACAGTGGGCAACCATGCGGACATTTGGCAAAAAATCGAAAGCGTGTTTTTTGAAAATTCAAGTAGTGCCAAATATACTTTGATTTACAGGCTATCTAATGGCGTAAAATTTTTTGTTAGAAGCTGCAAAGTCTCGGAAAAAAATGGTGAAATAAAAACTAGCTTGTATTTTAGCGCCTTCTGAGAAAAAACCATTTTTTAATCGCATGAAGCCAATTCAAAAGTATAAAACGTATGTATTCGAAATCCAGACGCTTCTAGCTATGTATTAGTAAAAAGGATTTTTATCTAACCTTTTTAGTTTCAGAGAAAAAAATTATTATCCAAACTGACGGTATTCCGAAACGCTAGTTAAAGTGGAATGAGCTTCCCACACTTTCCCAGTCCCCAGATTGCATGAAAATTTCCTGAAATATTCCTCGACATACGCTGCATCTGTGGTGCATGTGGTTTTTATTTTGGACTTAGATAGGGGTTTTTGAAAAATTCTTGACTTTTCGAGTTAAAATTCATTTTTCTCAGCTCAGAAATACTTTTACTGGAAAATAATATCATATTCGGAATCAGCGTTAAAAACTACATCGAGTGATATATCACTTATTAGGTTGTTTGACAAAAATTCAAAACAATGGGACTCAGAGATGTTTATCGGAATAAAACTTTTTTTCGAATTGGACTTTTCTTACTTCTATTGAAATTTGACACATAATAAGACAATATTATCCAAAAAATAATCATTTTTTAACTCATAAAACCAGTCCGCCTGCTCTATGGAAAAATGCCCGCCATGTACCTTTCGTTTCTTACTTATATTCAAAAAACATCCGAGTGCCTTATATTTTGAAATCAATAATAGAACTCTTCATCTTCGTTAATTCCTTATTTACGCATCTCTTTCGCACGAACACCCTCTGTTCTTAAATCCCTTCTATTTAACTTGTAGTTCTTTCAAATAAGAGACGAAACAGGAACAAAAATATATTGATCAACCTTAAAAAGATATGATGTGCCGCTGACATGAGGTTAGGCTAGTTTCGAAAAACTGATATGTTGATATGTATCAGCTACGCTTCCTGAACTGTTTCAACAAACTTTCTAGCGCAAAATCCAATATCTTCATCTCAACCTGACACAGTATCCGTAATTCTCACATATGGCAATGTCAATACGCATTTTGTTTCTGTTTCCTAGTTTTAGAAACACATGGCCATTTATGCTTCTCAACTCTCGCTCTCGAATCCACAAAAACAATCTGACGAAATTCTCGTACTTGAATCCATTTTTGGCTCGGAGAAGTTTCGTCATCTAGATGCTGATGAACAACAATATGAAATCTGCGTTGAATTCGATTTGCCTTCGGCATTCACTGTGCAACTTCATTCCTCTTCTATTTCCTCACCAATCAAATATCTTCCCCCTTTAACTTTGACCGTTCAACTGCATGATCAATATCCATCAGATTTCAGTCCCACATTTGCCTTGTCGTGTTTTTATATGTCTAAAAGACAATTGCACGAACTGTGTCAGAAACTGGATGCAATTTTCAAAGAAAGTGAAGTAGTGATTTATCAATGGACTGAAATAATTAAAGAAGATGTTTGTTCCAAAACTGAGCTCGTATTAGACAGTGCGACGAAAGACGATGATCAAAAGTAAGAAAGCGAAGTCTGTCAGATCTAATTAAACAATATTAAGCCTTCCGTTTTATTCCCTCGTGTACAGTAGTGCCAAAGAATCATCTGCTGTAGGAAGTTATAAAGGCACCTGTTTAGCTAGTAGGTCTTTTGATAGATTAAGTTAAATGCGGAAAGTACAGCCGTTTACGTTTTCTCCCTTCAGACCTTTATCACTTTTTTTTGGAATTATATGAGTAAGGTTGAACGGGCGCAAATAACTGAATAGCAGAGTTTGATTGTGTGAGAAGTTAGCGAATGAAATTTCTGCAGCACTTTTGAATGTCTTTCAGCTGCTATATTAGATCCATCTGCTTCATTTGTTTAGGTATGATGATCCTCGTGCAATATCCTCGCACTCCTCTTGTCCAATCGGTGAAATTTATCAGCAATTGCTCGACTATAATCGTCAGAAATTAGCCGATGAATTTCAGCGTTCTTATCATCAGTGTTTGATCTGTACTGATGACTTTCCTGGGTCGAAATTTCTTTGTCTTCTCAAATGTCAGCATTATTTTTGTCAACAATGTCTTTTGGATTATGCGAGAATGCACATTCAAGCGGGGACCGTTGAACAGTTAACATGTCCAGATTCGACATGCAACCTTTCATTACTGCCAACCGAAGTTAAAGAAATATTAACACATGATCAAGATGGAGAAAAACTGTATGAGAAATATGAACGATTGACATTACAAAAAAGTTTAGAACATATGACTGATATTGTATGGTGTCCGAGGTAAGGAAAAACTTCTTTTTTTGTAAAATTCGTTTGTCAGGTCTTACTAGTGGTCATAAAATCGGAGCGTCTTAAATCTTTGACAAATGATGTTCAGTAAAGAGCTTGAAGCTACGGAGTCAGTAAGAATATTTTTAAATAGGTTCTTTTTTTAAAGAAGTATTAGTAAGCATGAACTTTTCAATTTTCACTATTTAATAATTATTGATAAGATTTCTATCTTACTCAAAGCAATGGTAATGTCTCCAGTTGCAATGGATGATGACGATGTAAGGGCTTCGATTTCGATGATGTTTTTTGCATGAGCTGAGCCGTAATTTAAATATTATTGTTTGGTAATACTCTATTTCGCTATGATCGCAACATAGAACGACAAACACTTCAATCGAAGTTTTAAATGATTTTAAATGAATCATGAAATGAATGATGATTTTGATGAGGCATATTTAAAACTTCGATTGAAGTGTTTGTTGTCCTATGGTGAGATCATAGCGAAACAGAGTATTACCAAACAATAATATTTAAATTACGGCTCAGCTCATGCAAAAAACATCATCGAAATCGAAGCCCTTACATCGTCATCATCCATTGTAACTGGAGACATGACCATTACCGCATCAAAATCACCATTCATTTCATAATCTAAGTCTAGCGTTTACAATGCGGTGTTAAAACTGATAGGATTCAATACTATTTCAATTGCACGTCGATGATATTTTATTGCTACTTCATAACATGTTTCATTGAAATGGAAATTTCCAATCATTTTAAAAACGATTGCACATACAGTATACAATATTGGGTGTGGTAAATAATCATATTTGAATTCAAATATTTTTCCAAGATATGATATTACTAGTTTCGTTATTAAAAGAGAAAGATGGGTCCAAAATTTGATTAGTAATTTAAATACAAGGCAATTTTGGGTACCATGTCCGCTGTTGAAGAACTGTCAAATAGTGCTTTTTGTAGCTCTATCTCGTGCGCAATTTGTGACAAGGTTTAGTGCATGGTCACATCTTCTCAATACATTGAGATTCACCATCGTCAACTGTTCGTGAAAGATGATGCAAGGCGATGAAAAACCGCCTTTTTCTCTGTTAAGGGGGGGAAGGTTTCCCCACCCGTTTGTTTTCAGCTGTTTGTGGAGGACACTTCGGAGTATATGTCCCAACAAAGCTTTCGGCTCCCGGATTTATAGTTTTTGATTAAAAAAATTTTTAAGTTTTTTTCGGGTTTTTTGCCCCATTTCTAAAACTTCAATAAAAACTTCATTTTTTGATATGAAGAGTTGATTCTAGCGTAGTTCGATAGAGAACATTAATTTGTATACGGAGAAACCCTTTTCATCGTTCCAGAATGAAGTTTGCCGCAGAAATTTAGCGTTCGTCTTCCCGAGGAAACTTCAGAGCTGAAAGTATTTTTCACCTCGCCTTACGGCTAGTTTCGCTCGAAGCAAAATTCTAAGCGCAAAAGTTGTTCAGAATCGAATTTTGGAGTCCCTGAGGGGAGAGCTTTTTGTAACATTTTTTGTTTTTGACTTTTAAATTAAAAAATACGAAATTTTAAAATTTTAAAAAAGGCTCTCGTGAGGGACTCCAAAATTCGATTCTGAACAACTTTTGCACTCAGAGTTTTGCTCCAAAATGCTTGGTTCGGGCGAAACTAGCCTTAAGATTAGGTAAAAAAATCTTCAGTGAGCCAAAAATCAGCGATATTTTCGAGTTTTGAATTTTTTCTTCAAGCCCTCCCGGTTTGTACAGAACACTTCGAAGTGTATGTTCGAAAGTTTTTTCGGCTTACTGACTTTATTTGGCTGAGAAAAAAATTAATGAGTTAAAAAAGTATTGTTAAATTTTTGAAGAAGGGATTATTATTAAAAAAATTCCTGTCCATCCTCCATTCATCACAAAAGCTTGGTTCTTGCCTAGATCGATAGAGAAATGTGTGGAGAATATTTATTACGAGAAAATATGCAAGAATTTTTGTTC